CCTCTACCTCTACCTTGGGGTTAGCCCGGCGGCCATCAGCTCTGTGCTCATCCGGGAGGAAGACGGCATCCAACATGTCATCTTCTACGTTAGCAAGACCCTAAGGGAGGCCGAGCTCAGGTACTCCCCTGTGGAAAAAACGGTGTTAGCCATCGTTTGGACTGTCAAGAAGTTGAGCCACTACTTTCAGGCTCACCCGGTTCAGGTACTCACCCATCAACCCCTCGGCGCCCTCATGAGGAGCCCCACCAGCTCCTCCCGCATGGTGAAATGGGCTATCTTCTTGAGCCCTGGCGGACTTTGTGACGGAGTGTACCGCAAGGGCAGCCACGGACGGGGAGCCCTCGGCTACCTCGGACGACTGGTGGACCCTCTACACTGATGGCTCCTCCGCGACCAAAGCATGCGGGGGAGGGGTAGTCTTCATTACTCCCGAGGGCTTCAGGGCCTACTATGCAATCCGCTTCTCCTTCAAGGTCTCCAACAATGAGGCCGAATATGAGGCCCTCCTGTGTGGCCTTCGGCTGGCTGCCAACATGAGGGCTCGACAGATACACATCAAATGCGACTCCAAGTTGGTCGTTGGCCAAATCTCCGAAGAATATGAGGCCAAGGAGGGAAGAATGAAACAGTACAAGGAAGCGGCCAAGGAGTTGCTTAAGGTATTTGAGGCACACTCTCTCACTCAAATACCGAGGGCTCAGAACTCCGAGGCCGACATATTATCTAAACTCTCGGCAGACTCCCCCGAGCACATCTCCAAGATTGCCAAAATCGAGGAACTCAGCCTCTCAAGCATCCATGCGAGCCCCGTGATGAACATACAACAACGTCAGGAGGATTGGATTTCAGATATCACCGCCTTCATCTCCACAGGGCAGCTACCCGAGAATGAGGCCCGCGCTAAACTGGCAAAGCTGAGGGCTCCTAGCTACACCATCGAAGATGGGAGGCTCTACAAACGATCTTACAATGGCACGCTACTTCGGTGCCTTCATCCAGATGAAGCCGAGGTCGCAATGGAGGAAGTGCACAGTGGCACTTGCTCAGCTCACCAGGGACCCTTCTCCATGTCCCGAAGGCTCATTCTCCAGGGCTACTTCTGGCCAACCATGGCCAGGGACTGTGCTGACCTTGCCCGGAGGTGCACCGCATGTCAACATTTCCAGAAAGCTCCCGGCAGGCCAGCGGTCAACTACGCCCCCATCAGCACCTCTGTCCCATTTTCTCGATGGGGGATAGACCTTGTGGGCCCTCTGCCGAGGGGTACCTCCAACAACAGATACATCATTGTGGCCGTCGACTATTTTACCAAATGGGTGGAGGCTGAACCCCTCGCCAGCATCACAGAGGCGAAGTGCCGTCACTTCGTCCTCAAGAACATCCTCACAAGGTTTGGCGTCCCCCAGCAGATCATCTCCGACAATGGGACACAATTTGAGGCAGCCCCCTTCTGTGCCCTTCTGGAGGCATGGGGCATCAAACACACCTTCTCCTCCGTTGCCTACCCTCAAGGCAACGGGAAAGTAGAGAATGCCAACCGGACCTTGCTCGAGGGCCTCAAAAAGAAGCTGGAGGCTGAGGGCGGTGGCTGGGTAGAAGAACTCCATAACATCCTTTGGGCCTACCGCACCACCCCTCGGCGAGCAACAGGTGAAACACCCTTCTCCCTCTGCTACGGTTTCGAAGCCAAAGCTCCTACGGAAGTCAACCTTCCCACCCGAAGGGTGATCCAATATGACCCCGAGGTCAACGACAGCAACATGGCCCTCGACCTCCACCTCATTTCAGAACGCCGGGAGCAGGCCTTCATCCGGGCAGAAAACTACCGAAGGCAAGTTAAAAGCTACATCGACGCCAAAGTTCGCACCCGGGAATTTCAAGTGGGGGATTATGTCCTCCGGAGGAGGGAAGCCAGCCAACCAACCGAGGGAGGAAAAATGGCACCAAAATTCGAAGGACCCTATATCATAGCAGCCATCATCAAGCCCGGGACATACAAGCTCAAACGCCCCAATGGGAAAGAAGTCCCTAAGCACTGGAATGTATACCATTTAGTTAAATTTTATCAATAATGTAAGAGCGGCCAAGCCCTGATAACTAGTGAATGTACTATCCTATGGCCCAAGGCCTCCAATTTCGAAGAATGAAGATACATTCAAGACATCAAACCCTCATACTGACTACAGGCCCCAGGCCTCACCACGAGAAGAACCCCATCCGGCACCAAGTGCCGAGGGCGGACACCATCAACACCTACAACAAACAGTGAAAACATCACGTGTTTTCGGTCAAGACCCCTCGGCACCAACAACAAGGGACACCATGTGTTTCATTTCCCTTCGGCACCCAGTGCCGAGGATACATCCCCACCTTCAACATCAAAAAAGAAAAGATGAGAACACCAAATATTCCTACAGAAGACCCTTCGGCATCCAGTGCCGAGGGTACACCTCCATCATCAAACATCGAAACGAAGGGAAAACACCAAGATGATCCAAAGAAGACCCCTCGGCACCCAGTGCCATGGATATGCTCTCCTCTCAACTTCCAAACATCTGTTGGGAAACACCAAGTGTTTCATTTGAAGACCCTTCGGTACCAAGTACCGAGGGTAGACGCCTACATCAACTACAACAAAAGAGAACACCAAGTGTTCCTACAGAAGACCCTCGGTACCAAGTACCGGGGGCTACACATCGAAACTAACACCAAGTGTTGTTTCTAAAAGCCGTACCCCACGAGGACGCATATACCGAAGGCGCCACCATCGGTGCCGGCGGCACGTAGTGCCCCCGGCCATTTGCAACTAGTGTGCAAATGAAAACCCTTCCTTGAAACGCTTTCCGCGTCACTACCCCCAGGGTATGACAGGCATGAGAAATGCCCAGGATTCGACTTTCAAAAACGAAACGCTATCCGCGTCACTACCCCCAGGGTATGACAGGCATGAGAAATGCCCAGGATTCGACTTCCAAACCGAAACGCTCCCCGCGCCACCACCCCAAGGGTGTGGCAGGCCACGGACTATGTCTAGCGCCGAGGGGACGACTTTAAAAAATGAGGCGCTTTCCGCGCCATCCCCCGAGGGGAGGCAGGTTACGGACCACCATATCTTGTGCCCAGGAAACGTCCCTCGATCCCCTAGGCACTCGAAAGGTTAACCCGAGGGAGGAGAGCCATTGGTGTATTCTGATGGTCTCCTAATAGGCCCAGCCTTACCAAGAAACCAAGTTTCTTGATGCCTTCCCTTCACCACCAACCAAAAAAAAGGGGGGGGGGGGGGGGTGAAGGGGAGTAGACTCAGCGAGAAATCAAAGAGTACACTCCAACAGATCACAACAAGCCGAGGGCTCCCCACGGGAACACCTCCGGTAACTGAAGGCTCCTATTTCCCGAAGGATACTACTCGAACAAATATCATCAAGAAACGGCAAAGACCACTACCTGGTCACCTCCGGTCACAAAAACACCGAAGGCTTCCACAATACAAAGGGACTGGACTATCCAAGGTCCACTAAACGGTACTTCAAACAGACACCGAAGGCATCTGTTATGCACAAATACCGAGGGCCCTTTCCCCATGACAAGGGTCAAATTCTACAACTTTTAAAGTGTATGCCGAGGGCACACACTCCTCATTGGCTTTCTTCACAACAACAGGACTCAACATCAATTTATGCTTGGAACAAATTCTAAGTCCTGAAGGAGCAGCCCCCGGGCATCTCGCAAAGTAATGTAAAGCCAAAAGGCACCTATCACCCGAAGGCTACACAAAGAAACAACACTTGAAAAATTCCAAGTCCCAAAATTGGGCCCCCGGCTCGATCAACACTACAGCTAAGGGAATACAATAACCGAAGGCTATGCGATACAACAACACTTGCAAACAAAGAAAATTTCTATGTCCTAAAGATGGGCCCCCGGCTCAGTTAGTATTGCAGCTAGAGGAATGTGACAGCCGAAGGCCATACACCAAGGAGGGATGCCATCTCCCGAAGGCTCCCAAGGGAGATTTTACACTTAGAATATTTTCTAAGTCCTGCATATTTTCCCCCTCGGTCAACTACTCATACATCATGAGGGGATGCCATCTCCCGAAGGCTCCCAAGGGAAACTCTACACTTAGAAGATTTTCTAATTACTACATGCTTTTCCCCGATCAACTACTTATACATCAAGGAGGGATGCCATCTCCCGAAGGCTCCCAAAGGAGATTTTGCACTTAGAAGATTTTCTAAGTCCTGCATATTTCCCCCCCGGTCAGCTACTCATACATCATGAAGGGATGTCATCTCCCGAAGGCTCCCAAGGGAAACTCTACACTTAAAAGATCTTCTAAGTCCTGCATATTTCCCCCCCCCCCCCGGTCAACTGCTCATACATCATGAAGGGATGCCATCTCCCGAAGGCTCCCAAGGGAAACTCTACACTTAGAAGATTTTCTAAGTCCTACATATTTCGCCCTCATCTCGAGGGACCTAATTGCCGAAGGCTACCTATCAATCGAGGGCTGTGGTTCACAAGGAATCAACACTCAAGAAAATCTTCTAAGTCCTAAAGAATTAGCCCCCGGCCTATTCAATATTACAGGTGGGGCTCCACAGTAGCCGAAGGCTACATGACATACTACACTTGCAAAAAATCTCTAAATCCTGTGCATTGGGCCCTCGGTCCAACATTCACACATCAGGAAGGGAGGCCATATCCCGAAGTCTCTCAAGGGGAAATCTACACTTAGAAATTTTTTCTAAGTCCTAGGATTTGGGTTACTGCAATCACCCGAAGGCCCTATGGTGTGCTACACTTAGAAAAATTTTCTAAGTCCTAATTGCTGCTGAACCCTCGGTTGCATATCCAGCAGAGGGTGCCCAACTACCGAAGGCTTCCAAGGGCAAGCTACAATCGAAAAATACTCTAAGTCCTAAAACATACATTCAAAAAAAAAAGAAGGCATACATCCAAAGCAAGACGAAGGCATACATTCGACAATGAACAGATCAGAAGGAAGCATATCATATACACAAAGCCCGAAGGCAATCATTCAATTACAACAAAAAAAGTAGTCAATGTGATCATTACAGAGTATGGCCAAAGCCGAGGGGTGACAAAAGTTTCATTACAAGGCTTTTTCAAAAATTGACTAAATACTAATCTTCTCGGCGGCTTCAGCCTCGTTGTCACCGGGGGCATCTTCCACGACAGCCTTGGAGGAGACTTCTTCTCCGGCAGCATCACACCCGACGGCTCCAACCCCATCACCCCCCATCATCACAGAATCATAGATTGTTGGCCGCTCTTCACCCTAGGGGAGGGGAACTCTGACATCTGGTTGCAGCGGAGGGAGGCCATATGTCGAGGGGTCAAATTGTTCGAGGGACACGCCAAAGTGCCTGGCAAGCCTCCGGTAGATCAGGTGCTGAGTAAAGAACTCACCCCCCTGGTAATAGGCGTCCCCCCTGTCAGTCAGCCAGTCAACCCCCGGGCCTTCTACCCAAGCGTCCACCGAGGCTGCCACCACGGAGGCAACCCACTCCTTATGGCCCTCGGCCCTCCAGCCCTCAGCGAGGAACTCCGCAACTGCCTCCCCTCGGGCCTCGGCCGCAGCTCTCTCCTTAGCAGTTTGGGCTTCTTCGGCAGCCTTTTTCGCCGCCTCGGCAGCAGCCCTCTCGGCCTCCGCCTTGCCCTCGGCAATGCCGTCAGCTTTGGCCTTCTCCGCCACCGCCTTCGCCTCCCGAAGGGCCTCCTCCAGCTGTGCAGCATGCTTCACCGCCTCGGAGTTCTTGCGGATCAGCCCCTCCACCTTCTTATCTTGGGCGGCCTCGTGAAGGCACCTTTCTTTGCGCCTCCGGGCCTGTTCCCCGAGGGCTATGCAGGCCTGCAAACAACGATCAAAGGAGTTAGATTATCCCACAGGGAAAGATAATACTAAACTGATAAGATAAGGGAAAAGGAAGCAGATACTTACAGTGAGAGAGGACCGGAGGATCCTGTTCTCGAGGGCATCATCATCGTAGGTCTCGAAGACTTCCCTGTCCATCTTCGAGGTGATGCCCCGAAGGAAGCTCCTCGGCTCGGCAGTGCCGTGCATCAGGGAAGCGCCGGGGGCAAAGGAGAGCTGACGGATCTCCCGGGGTAATTCCTCCCGGGGGGGATTCACCGGATCCTTCGGAGGGACCGAGGCGAGAGGCCCATCAACAGCGGGCATGTCATCAATAATTATGAGGGGGGCCGCCGCCCCGACAGCACCCACGGCGCCTTTCTGCTTCTTGGTGGGGGGCTCCACCCCCTTGTCGCCCCTCTTCTTCTTAGCGGCCGCCTCGGCCTTCGACCCCCCGGTCCCCACAGCAGCATGGGCGTCCCCGGCGGAAGGCTCTATGACCTTCGGGAAAAGCGCGTCGACTGGCTTCTGGCCCGAGGGCCCCTTCTCCTTGGACTGGGTCTTGCCCTTCCTCTTTGCGAACAGAGCGTTGGCATTCATCTTGCTACCTGCAAAGAAACAACAAGTTAAAAGGTTAGCACCGAGGGGTCCGAGACACGACAACAGACATGACAGAAAATCTCAAAGTACAAAAATGTAAAGCCCCCGGCCACTACCTCCTGCTCCCACGAAGGCTTTATCATAGAGGGGATACTTCTCCTCGGTCTCCCCAATGAACCGATACCTCAGGAATCCGAGGGCATACAGGTCTTTCTCGAGGGTGCACTCCTTGATGGTTATGTTCTAATCCCGCCCCTCCGGAATCTCGGCAATCTTCAGGCCATCCTTCTCGAGGGCGGCGCTCTTGACCTTCACATGACGCCGAAAGCAATTCCGCAACTCCCTCGGGAAAGGGCTGTCGGCCAGTCTGATGTAGCACCATCGCTCTCTCCACCCCTTGTTGGAAGAAGGGGCCTCGGTGAACAATTTGAACTGGGCTATCTGCTGTAAGTTCGCATAGCCCTCGGCATTGGTATGGCCCCCCCGGCATAGGTTGAAGCTTTGGAAGAATAGCTCCAAGCTCGGTGTAACCCCCCGGAGTTTGCACAGGTTCACGAACCCAGTTATGTACGAGTGGCTATTGGGGGTCAATTGGCAGGGAACCAGGCCAGTGTACCTCAGGTACTCCCGGAGGAACGGATGGAGAGGGAACCGGAGGCCCATTGAGACCGAGAGCACGTGCACGGCTATACATCCCTCGGGGGGCCGCGACAGCACGTCATCAGGACCTGGCTCGACTACCACGGCCGAGGGCCCTACGTGCAACTGGGTGATGTAGATGTCCGCCCTGTCAGCTTGGGACTTAATCTCCAGAGCGGCGGTGTCCAGGAAGGAGTAACCCTCCGGTAGATCAACTGGCCCCCCCTGATCGACGGCCTTTACTTTCTTCCGGGGGGCAGCATTCGTCTTTCTCCTCTTCTTCCCGGGGGCTACACTTAACGGCGTCGGGTCCAGCGGCCTCGAGCTACTGGCTTCCCCAGAACCCCGGGGGGGGGGGGGGGGGGGGGGGGGGAAGAACAGCGACAGTGACCTTCGCCCTCTCCTTTTCTTCTTCCTCCTCAGCAACCTGGACGGCGAGGGCTAACTCCTCATCTTCGACAGTTCGCTCGAACTCCTCCGCCTCGACCTCGGCCGCCAAATCCTTCTGCATCTCGGTGGCGAGAGCTGCATCACCACCCGAGGGCTGACTGCTACTAGACTCCGCATCGGAGATACCTTCGTCTTCCATCGAGGGCGTCCTCGAGATGTCCTGGGAATCGCTCTCGGACGACATTTTTTATCACGAATAAGCCTAAGACTCCGAAGGCTCTCTACAGGATTCTAAACCTAATCTAAGGCCAGGGGGCGGAACTTACTAAGAACTTTGAGAGAGGAGCAGGGCACTGACCTTGAAAGCAGAGTTTTGACCGAAGGCTGGAGTTTCTCTCACTAGAATTTTTGGCAGAGCTTCGCTGAAACAACTGATCGCACAAGAGGAAATGGCTCTGGCCTTGGGGTATTTATAGGCACTGGAATCCGGGCTTGGGCCTGGGTTCCGGGCCTCCGGATGGACGCCATCATTACACACCGCGTCTTCGCCCAACCGGTGACGCCGCCCACGGACAGCCAGCAATCACACGCCACGTGTGCCCCCCCCCCCAACGGCTATATCCCGTCGTTACATATTCCAACGACTATATTTCCAACGGCTGTATTTTGGGAGCCCCCGGGTTTTCCACTTCACTCCACTTCATCAAGGAAAGCCTCCGGGTACACTTACCCAGAAGCACCCCCGGGTTGTGCCCCACACAGCACATTACACACGCCTTTGGGATCACTCCTTCAGAAACCCAGGGCTTCATATCAAGACACCCCCTCGGGGATTCCCCCTCAGCACTGCAAAACCGGGTAGCCCCCGGGGAGTTGCCTCATTGACGGATGACCCACGGCACACAGGTAATGGGAGCCCTCAGGTATCTTTATCTCCAACCAATCAACAAACAGTGGACCCCCCGGTAACAACTCCACTGCTGCCTTCATCTGGCAGGCCCTCGATCCCTGGATTGAGGGGCTCCCCTTCGGCGCCACCAGGACATCAACAGCGAGCCTTCGGCTAATCAACACAGGAGCCCTCAGAAGAGAGAGCCTTCGGCATTCCCGCCATTCTCCATTTTTTACCAAGGTTTGACATTTTCGATTCATCATTGGGGGAATTCGGTGCACTCTTTTTCCCTCATTAGGATTTTTTCCCAAAGGGTTTTTCCTAATGAGGTTTTTAACGAGGCATCCCCCCAAAATGAAACGAAAAGCGTCAGCCTTCGGCCCACAACGGCAACGTAACTACTTTACTCCTTTTCACCACTTTACAAGTGCCTCAAGGAGTGGGGGACTGGAGGACCCCTTCGGGAAAATCATTAAATTACAAAATCTGTGAAATTCCAACAAACAACAAAGCAAGCCCTCAAGTCCCGACATGTGGGTAACTGAGGGACTGCCTTCGGCAGGGACATAAAAGCAACAACTCCTCACCAACTTCAGGAATCACGATGGGACAACATCAAAGGGCAAGCACAAGTTACTCCTTTTCCCTCAAGTACCTTTCGGCAAAAGGAGTGAGGGACTCCTGATGGAGTATATGGCCCGGGAACCCCCGGCCCACAGACTCCCACTGCTCCATCAAAGGCCCAACAGGCCCAACAGGCCCAAATCACAGCGCCCAGAGTACCAAGCAGTCCGCACAACGCGCCAGGGGGGCCCTCGGCCCCTGGCCGAGGGCTCCAAATTCTCACAGAACGGGTTTCTCAAGCAAACTAAGAAACTGGGAGAAAACGGCGAAAACAGTAGCCCTCGGCACTGGGAGCCCTCGGCACCAGGGTGCCATCGGGTGGAAGAGTCCTCGGCTACTGCTCTATAACCGAAGGCATCTCACTCGACAAGATATCCGTCTCACATGCGTACAGATCACCGTACCCCGCACAGACGTCCCATCCAACAGCCGCATTAAATGCGGCCACATGCGACTGCCAGCGCCAACCAGTTGAGGTGACCCCTCGGCCAATGAGCGCTTGACACGTGTCCCTGCCCGGCATTTATTGCTACTATAAATAGCACCCCTTTTCCCCATTTGTAACGAAGTGATAACACGCTGAAAACACTCCGCATTTATAATACATTCTCTCTCTACTTTTATTTACTTGCTCTGACTTCTCTCTAAATTACTCCCCGTAATAACCCTTCGGATATATACCCCCGGGTAGACTATCCATCAATGTATAATATGATAAAAATTGTTTAAGGTGGACATCAAAAACAAATTCTTGTTCGTTTTGTTTATTCTTGACCTTGTCTGTAATGTATGCTTCAAATCTATAAATATAATAAGTAGGTAATATGTAGTCTTTAATGGCACAACCACACATTAAATGACTGAATGTAAAGTTAGAACAAAAAACAGTACAACAATGTACCGTAACCATGACATTAATTTTACCAATGTATAATTTGATACAAGTTCTTAAAGGTGGAGACTAAAAAAACATTCCTTTTTATTTATTTTTTATTCAAAACTAACATTCAATAAAAAGTAAATAAAATCCACTAATTAAATTTGACTTCATAATAATAGTTTATGAATGTGACTACTAACACACACAGGGTACAAGTAAGAATAACAGCATAATAGGAGTAGACAGTAATAGTAAATATAAACAAATAGAAGTGGCAGTAATTAGACATTAAAGAGACAGTAATAAGACATTAAAGACACTGTAATTAGCATTGTAAAAACCCTTTTATGCAGGGGGTCTTCAGTAGAAGAACAAACATTACAGCAACATAACTGTCAAAAGACTAACAAAAAACACCAAGTTGATAACAACAAAGCACCATGAAAGTAAAGAACAATAAAACTGAATTATTGAGTCTTGACAAGGCCGGGCACCGAATTAATTCCAATAAAGTTTTTTTATTTTCGTTCTCTCTGCTCATCATAGATCAAAAAATTCAGTCATCTCTTTACCGGAATTCGCTTCCGTTATCTCATTCTAGACCTTGGACGAGATTTTGTAAACGTGCTCTTAACAATTTGATCATAATGGAAGATGTATTTAATATCATCAAACTGAAAGAGTATAACAGAGTTTATATACAAGCTCAAAGGGGAAGAACTAGCAACTGACAATCTGTTACTATACAACCAACTGAACTAACTAATATATGAAAGAGAACACAGAAAGTGTATTTCTATTTCTAATACTTCATTGAAATGAAAACCTAGCAATTCTTTATCCATTCAGCACTTCAGTTTACCTCCTGTATAGATTTTTAATTTGACCCCTATCATACATCCGTCAAAGACTCCTAATTTTAAGGTTCAAACTTATTGATTCAAGATTTTGAAATTCAGTGTGTTGTTGAAATGGGAATTCATATCTTGTTTGGTGTTAAGTTTATTGGAGAAAACTTTTGGGTCAGGAAGCTTAATTCCGGCAAAAGTGAGACACTATATCAGCCTGTTTGACAAGGGTTATTTGGTGAACAAAGGGAATGCGTTTTGGAAAAACTGATTTCAGACAAAATAAGAAATTCAAAGTCTACCTATTTTAGTGGTAAGCATTGAATGATTTGTAGCATGCATATGAATGGTCAGAACCTTAATCAGTCATTCAGTAACAATAACTAGAAATGATTCATTGTTTTTGCCTATAAGATATATAGTATTTCTCAGGAGGAGGGAGGTGCCCATAAGACAACAATGAATGATTTCCAGCATTCATAATCACACAAACATGCATCACAGTTAAAGATTTTTGCGATCTGCCCACCATCTTAGAGTTTAGAAATAAAATGGAAGTAAAGCGGCAAAAGAAAAACTTACCCAAGGATTTTACTTTAACAGTAATCCTTCACATTCCATAATAGTAGCAGCATATAGGCCTGAACCAGAGCACGTGCTACACAATACACCACCTGCTGCTTTACAACAACCACAAGGAGAGATTTATTTCCGATATTCTTCTCATTCAATGATAGCCCAAGAGGGTTCTCTATAACCTCCTCAGACACAGACTTTTCATAGCAAAAAGGAGATTGAAGACTGCTTATTCTACACATCATTTAGAACTGCCCTGCACACATATAAAAAAACCATGTAAAGATGTTTCACATTTTATTTAAGCGCTAGCAAAAACTGAACATGGATGCGCTTCCCCACATTAGTAACAAAAGATTTGATTCTTAGAATCCTAGGCAATCAATATATTGCAGTCTTGCATTAATTTCTTAGAATTTGGGCACTTAGTTTCAGTGTAACGTCCCTATTTCCTAAAACTACTAGGGTACCTTTTGAAATAAAACTTCTTGAAGCACCTTGGTTATAGCTATGTTTGAAAAAAATGGATGAACTGCCATGTGAGACAAAAGTACTGATGTTTTAGTCAGGAGCAGAAAACTACTACGCAGTATATGTGAGAAAATCTAAGATGCATTTCAAGCATTTCTAAAGCAAGATGCCACCCCCACCCCATCCCAATTCACTAGCGCACAACTTATTTATCACCAAACCAGGATAAGAAATTATACAAAAGGTTTTTTAAGTGAAATTCTACTATACAGAGTTCAATTTTCTCTCTGTTAATGGAGGCTTTTGTTAGGAATTAGGGATTTGAGCCAACTTCTCAATGTTTGGGAATACAGAAAAAATGGAACATTGTTGAGCGTGAATCTCACCCTAAAATTTGGTAGAATCTGAAAAGTTTTATTAAATGAGGGATATTATGGAATACATAAATAACGAGTAGGGCCGAGTAATCACCAAGTAAACCCCAGTACTCGGTCCTATTCGCTACTCAGCCCTTGACCGAGTTGATACCGAGTAGCGATTTAATTAATTAGAACTTACCTCTACTATATTTGTATCGAGTAACCCCGAACAAAATTGTACACAAGTACACAAAAGTTTTATTCACATCATGTCTATGCTTACCATATATGTGAGTACCCCTGCATTTTTTTGTCATTTTTAAGGGATAGGAGTTACGTTTGCAGCTAATAAATAAATGTGGTACCCACAATATGTGGCAGTATGGTACCCAAACTATGTGTGGTACCCAAAATACGTTTGAAAGAGTTTATATACAATATCAAAGAGGAAGAACTAGTAACTAACAACTGTTACTATACTAATATATGAAAGAGAAAACAGAAAGTATATTTCTGTTTGTAATACTTCATAAATTTGAGAAGCTCAGCTTCATGGAAATGAAGACCTGGCAATTCTTTATCCATTCAGCACTTCGGTTGATGCTTGAAAAGAAGAACAGCATGCATGTTCTGCAACTAATATTTTGGAGGAAGAAGTTGATGCTTACATACCAGAACAAGCAACACAAAATATCCTCGAAGTGGGACAATTTAGTGAGTCTGATTTCATGGCTTACTTAAATAACGTTAAGGAAACTGGATTCCTTGATGATGCTTCATGTGAGCCAACTGGGATGTCTTTAGATGCGACTGACAATAGTTGCAAGAGGAAGCACGTTGTTGGACCTGGAGAAAGTGCTACATGTCATGGCTCATGGGTATTCAAATAGAGATCTCCAAGAAGGATTCCAACACTGAGGTGAAACTATAAGTCGAATATTTGGAATTGTGTTTGATTGTTGGATGACGTTTTCTAAGGACATTATTGTGCCCGTTGACCCCACTTTTGAGAGCGTATCACACTATCACATGATGAAGGATATTTACCGCATTTCAAGGTAATTTACGACCTATTATACTTGTCATTATACTTCATGTGCACACTCTTCACGTGAAAATTGGTGTTGGATTTAGGACTGTATTGGAGCTATCGATGGTACTCACGTTCCAGCACTCATATTTGAAGAGAGAGAAAATATGTGGTACAATCGTAAAGGATTTATTAGCCAAAACATCATGGCAACTTGTAGCTTTGATCTTCAATTTACATTTGTCGTTCCGGGGTGGGAAGGATCAGCTCACGATGCTAGAATACTATGAGAGACACTAGAGAATCCTAGCTTGGGATTTCCAAATTTACATTTCATTCAAAAGAAACTCTTTTCAAATCTGTAACTCGAAATAAGAGGAATTAATAGAGCCGTCAAAATGGGCCAAAACCCACGGGCTGGCCCGTTTAAACCCATTCATTGGTGGGTTAGGGTTGAGAACTTCTGACCCGTTTCGTTCACGAGTTTCGCGGGTCAACCCACGCGAGTTGTGGGTTTAAGTGGGTTGGCCCACCGGGTTGCGGGTTGGCCCGCGGGCCAAAATACAAAATATAGTTTTGAATTTTATTATCTTAAATATCGTCATTTTACTTCGAATATTATTATAATTACAAATAAAAAATTACAACCATGGCAGAACAATATTTATTTGTATATTAAATATTCAAATAAAATGACGAAACATATATTTTAGGGAAAGTTCCCGATATAGGACTAAAACGGTTTCAAAATTACAAAATAGGATTGTCATGTTTTTTATTCCCAAAATATAACTAATTACTGTTATGTTTAGAAAATACTGACATGTTTGAAGTCTGGTACTGCCAAAACATGACAGTAATTAGTCCTATTTTGGGAATAAAAACATGACACTCCTATTTTGGAATTCACAAACTGTTTTAGTCCTATTTCAGGTAATATCTCTATATTTTATGTGATGTTTGATACAATATTTAACAATTAATAGTCATTGTTTACAAATAATTAGTTTATGCAGATCTTTATTTTTATACAATGAGTATTTTGGTCTCATACCTTCTTATAGTTTTCAAATTATCATATAACTGATATTTAATATTTTTTAATTAAACTTAACAAGTATTGAATTTTTAGTATTTTGACTTCTTATATTTCCTTAGTTACTACTTACTAATATAAATATATACGTCCGGGTAATTATTTTTACTTTTTTTTTGTTATATATATTTTTTACATTATTGGCCCGCGGGCCAACCCGTTTAACCCACGGGTTAGGTGGGTTGGGTTAGGGTTGTAGAAATTCTGGCCCATCGTTAAACGGGTTGGCGGGACCCAACCCACATAGAGCATAACCCTTTACGGGTCGAGTCAGGTTGGGTCGGGTTGGCCCGTTTGACAGCTCTAGGAATTAATCCCTTTTCTATCTCCTAGCGCAAACCCTAATGGTTCAACATCTCTGCACTAGGTTGCACGTTGTGGGAGATTATCACTTCTAGCAATATTTTTATTGAGTTTTTAGAGTAATCGGGTATCGAGTTCTAGTAAGTTTCACATATTAAGATACTTGTATTTCGGTGTGAGAAGCATTTTTGGAAGGGACTCTCAAAATCTAAACTCAACTAAAATTATGAAATGTATGTTGCATACAATCTACTCCAACTATGAGAAGTTGTGATGGGCTTATAATAAATCAAATAAAATGTTTGCAGTCTCCAACTTAAACATTGTTAGGGTGGACTAACTGTCAAAGTAGCAGTTCATTACCGAAATCTCAATGGTTCAACATCTCTACACTAGGATGCACGTTGTGGGAGGTTATGGCTTTTGCTTCTTTGAAAATAAATACTCCTCAATTGTTTTAATTAACGTGGAATATTACGTTTATTGTATTCTCTTTTTGAGTATACCTGATCCTGCAAAACATTATGTTGTTTTGTCTAGTATAAGTTGTTATTATATATGACAAGTGGTCATTTGATGTTATGCATATTTACTTTGTATTAAAATAATATCAAATCATTATTATATTAGATACATAAATATATTGATTTCAATATGTTGGCACATTATTCTATTACTATGACTTGTGTACGTATAGTAGCTTGCTAGTTTTGGGTTATCCTTGGGACGTGGATGAGTTTTTACGTAGTTAAAACCTCATGTCGAAAACAGCTCAGGATGGTTATTGTCAATGCATAGGTTCAACATTTTGTATATGGACAAATACCTATTATTTTACCTTCACACACGATTATGGGTAAATGCAGTATATCTTTATTTATTATTTCATTTCTTCAATTCAAACCTAAAAAGAATTGAAGCGATGAAGATATTCAAAACAAATGTTTGTAAAAAACTGTATTATTTCTCAATTGAGGTTCACTTGCTTTGACCGTATTAAATGTGTGTATATTTATTCAAAAAAAACTTTGAAAAATATTATAATCGCTTGCATGTGTATGCTACGATATTGGTATTGGACATAAATTTGTCGTGCAAAGCACGTCACAAAAACTAGTACACTAATAAAATGATTCGCCGTTTTACGAGTTGTCTGGAAGAAATCAATTCACGACACCTTATTTTCCTAGCATGACAATAATTCAAAATAAGGACTGACCGCTCTAGATTAGAATAAAATTTAAATACCCTCTGCTATGGCCAACGTGCAGAAAGAGACAAAAAATTACTACCAACACTAGTAGCTAGGAATCTAAAACTCAGAAAATTCTAACCGAAGACAACTAGCTCAGGTTGTAGTCCCAGGAAGGAGAACGTGTATCGCTTAGTTTTAGCCCCATGGAAAAATAAACTAATGACCCTATTTACTTAAAATAATAAAATCTTAAACGTAGATTTTTTTTGGTAGAACTCAAAAGATAGAGTATTCACGCCCTTTCAATCATGTTTTTGTTACCTTCCAAAACCTCATATTGTTGATGTTAAATAGACCTTTAGACCTAGTACGAAGTATATTTTTTGTGTATTCTCATTTTAAAGAACAAATAACAAAGATAGAAAAAGTAAGTGATCAACTAAGTCTAGGGAAAATGAATTAAACGGATGATGTAGTATAATTCATCTTTTTTATTGAAAGAGTAGTCAATATTAAAGCTTGAGATATTTAAAGCATCCCCAATGCATACATGTTTAATCTTAATAAAATATAGTGTCAAATTAATAATAGGCTTTCTAAGACACATAATACGAAGTGGGGTGACTAGATATTAAAGTACTAAAAAAGCTTACAATACATGATTTCTCACTATCCAAACGTGTTGTCTATTTGAGAGAAGTCATCTTCCTTCTTACTAAAAGATCGATCACTCATCTCTTTTGCATCCTCCCCAAATCTATTATTTGGAAATCATGCTCTTAATATTACATAGGAAAAATTGACAAGAATAATCACATTTGACCGATTTCCTCAGGTTATTTTATCCATGAACATTTCTTATTTCTCTTTCCATCCCTTTATTTACTTTTTTAAATAAATAAAAAAAGTAATTGTAGTTTTAGAATGAATCACACATATATCGATGATCCCACTTTTCTTTGTTTTGAGACAAACCTTGATTTTGTTTCGGAAGATCGCATTATTCCACCAACACTAGAATCCACCGAAAGATCTTCAAATGAGGTTCGCGGTGTAAGTTCTCAACGTTTGATTGCATTGCGAGATTAAATTACAAAAAAAATTGACTCGCAATATGAGTCAACATCGTTGATAGTGTATGACAATTGCATGTGTTCTATTATGTATTTTCTTTGCTTATGAAATGTATGTTGCATACAATCTACTCCAACTATGAGAAGCTGTGATGGGCTTATATAATAAATCAAATAAAATGTTTGCAGCCTCCAACTTAAACAGAAAAACTAACTTACCATATCTCCGATCTCCGAGAAGAGTTCCCTTATATCTTCATTGGTCTGACTATTGTGCAAGTTGGATAACCCAGCTGATAACCCAGATGATAACCCAGCTGCTCTAAGGCTATCTTCAAACAAACCGTTCTGCCAAGGCAAATTTTTTATCCTGCGGAAAGACTTAGCAATGGTGTGGGCTGATGGTCTGACATTAACACCAAGAGCACCTCAACCAGGAGGAGCTCCAGCACGTCTTCCACCTCTAAATGATCTACTGACCCCTCTTGCACGTTGAGGTCTGTCTCGTCCCCGACTTTTCTGACTTCTCTCACTATTACGCCTGCTCTTTATCATATAATCAAGTGTCATATCCAAAGAAGCCATCAGGCAGGTTGATTGAGGCTAAAACTGTCTTGGCTCAACCAACAATTCTAAATCAGAGAGAACCCGAACAAATCAGGGATTGTTGAACGCAATAGTATGGAGAGAAAAGGGATATGACAAACAGAAAACTGTGGAGATAAGGCAGGTCCAACGAACGGAAAATTGTGGAGAGAAAAGAGATATGTGATAGTCAAATGAAAATTTAAGCACAAAAAGGTAACTAGATCGAGAAGCCGAGGCTTGGAGGAGTGTTGTGATCGTTAATCCCATGTACCTAAGCCTACCAAAAGGCAACCTAAAACTGTTCTTGTACCCCACACCTTAGGATTTGTTATCTTCATCAAGCAAATGGTAGAACCAAACTAAGCAGCTGAAATGATTATAATAACAAAGTAGTATAGAGTTGTTTTATAACCTTACGCAATATAAACTTAATATTGAATATAGCTTATTATATATCTAACCACATGTATTATTATTAAAAGTATTATGTAAATTCTGGGTAAAAAGATTTTTTTTTAATGACAACTTTTGAATTTCAACGGGCAAATTATAAGCAATTTCTTCTTAAACATGGGACAAATCTTAATATAGAAAAGATGGAGCAATGAGATTTTAGGAGTGGGTAGAAGCCATGAAAAGGCATGTAGATCTCAAATCTGATTAGTTCCAGTTTCCATAGATAAAATTAAATATCCAAATCTACAGCTTGGATGTTGTTGTTGATGTATCAAAATTTAAAGCTTACACCGAAATCTTAAAAAGGATGGCCTAGGGACCAGTCACCAGTGATTTGTTTAATCTGTCAAAATTCATTCTTTTTAGCAATAATATGAATTGAGCATTTTATGCTCTGTGCACCACACTAAAGGAAACAGAAATCACAACTACACATAATATGAATTCATTCATTCTATTATGTATTTTCTTTGCTTAAAGTATTTTCGGACTTTATAATTTTTTGTGTAATAACGTTAGTACTTTTGTGTATTTTATGTTTCATTTCATTTTTGAATGAACTCGAATGAATAGTTATGTGTATTTTATGTTTCATTTCATTTTAATTCAAATGCATGTTAGCTTGTTAATATACTTCATATAAAGTATTTTTAGTAAAATTAATTTACTCATATTTGTCACAAAAAATAATACTTCCTCCATCCCATTAGAAGGTTCTCATTTTCATTTTTTGGACGTCCCGTTAGAAAGTTCTCATTTTCATTTTAGGAAGCAATTAACAATCTTAAGTGACAAATTAATCATTAAATATTAAAAACAATACATTTATAACATCACAGTTATCAATACTAACTACAATATAATATATACCTATTAAATTTATTTCTCAAAATATACTCAAAATACTTTATTTAATTATCGTCTAAATAACCGTGCCATTTTACTATGGGAACCTTCCAATGGGACAGAGTGTAACGCCCTCTCAGGGTTAAAGGAAACGTTACATTAACTTACTACTTAAAAAAACTGCAATATAACGACCGTTTGTTTAAGAAATAACTCTGATAAAAACTCAAATATAACTAAAATATAACTCCAAATAAAACTCAATAAAATCTAGTTATCATCGACAAATGTGATAACCCCCTGGATCCAGGAATTTATTCAAACTTCAAATCCTCAAATAAAAAATAAACAATAATCCCTTTATTAACATTGAAACACTGAAATAAAGTCATAATAACTAGCTAAAAGCCGCCAAGGTCGTTCCCGTTAAGTCATCTTGGCATGCGTTCCACTCCCTCATCATCTTCCTAGGCCTTGGCCTTTCCTTTAGTATCTGTACATGCGAAGAAAGAAAACTGATAAACTTTACGCTTAGTAAGACACTATGGATCCACAAAAATATTTAGAAGTCTATGCAAATTTATCAATAGATAAATTTAGGCTATAAGCATGCACTAAACAAACAACTAACAGACAGCTTCTCAAATATATTCTGAGAGAGATCCCAAAAAATATTTTCTAAAAATAATTTCTCAAACTACTGTGGGCCCGTGATATGTACTCAAAGGCGCCAATCCGACAGCTCAGGGGAGTGACCCACTAAACATATCAGATTCTCTGAAACTGGTAACTGATAACTCTGGGATTTTGTTCCCGAGTACATATCACTTGATCTTTCACTTCAAATATTAGTTCTTTTTACGGTGACGTTTGGATAAAAACAACATGAAAATCTTGAAATAAAAGTACTAACTTAATCTTGACTATGTCAGATAATAACATAACTTAATATGATAAAGAAAATGACTCATCAATTAATTCACCAAGCTCACATAATATCAAATAATCTAAAATCATCTGCTAAAAATCAACAAGACTTCTTCCTTTCCTTTGGTTAAACAAACATGTACAGGTGGTAGTGAACTTACCTGTTAACGGCTGAACTCAAATTACTCAAATAAGTGTGGCACCTCGGTAACGTCTTCCGGTAAGCTCTTCACTTAAATCTTTATTTAGAATAGTCAAATATTAGAAATCTTTAATCTTAATGAACCAAGGTACTGTTTTGATATATGTGTGTTAACTAAACAAATGAGTGGCGTACACCTACTAATAATTACAATAGATTTTACAAAACCAAACAGTAGTCCATTATTGCACCAACTCAACTGAACTAATCTCACGAAGGGAAATACTACGTACTAATTTGACCATAGGTGCATGATAAGTTAGTTTGAAGAAACCTTTAGATAAAGTGCTTTTAATCTAGTCAGATTTAGGTGGAGGTGAAAAGAAATACTTATTTAACTTGCTTTTAGAAAAACGAGGAGAGATTTAAAGTTAAATTATGGGCTGCTGTACCACAGTGGGAAAACTATTGGAAAAACGAATCCAGTTGACAGAACGAAATATTGGGAATAAAATCAATTTATAAGAGAACCTATAAACTCTTAACTATCTGTGAAACCGCCCATAAAATTAGTTTGAAACCAGAAGAATCAAATCAAATTTGACTAAATCAAGGCTACAACTGGGCTATACTACAGGCGTTTAAACTCCACATCCTATTTTGAAGTTCTTCCTAGAAAACTCAGAGAGAATTATAACTTTAAGAACCTCAACTGCACAGATTTAGAAAAAAATAAAACAATTTGCCGCCAAACAACACGAAAGTTGCTGCTAAATAAAAGATTTAAGCCTCAAAAAAATCATTTTTAATTTGTACGGCAAGACTGGTGAAGAAGCAATCTCTAGCAGAAAACCAAAATATTCCAAATCAATGTCGGCATGTACTTCGTACCAAACCAAATTAGTTTAAATCATTAAAACAACACTTGGCCAATGAAATTATGTCATGCCCATCACTAGCAGCCAACCAATTTAAATCCAATATTTTCGAAAGGCATAAAGAAAGCAAGTTATGGAAGACATTTTGACATACCAGGTCTTCGTAGAGGAAGAGAAAGAAGAGAATCGGCTGCTTACGGAAGGAACGATTCGGGCTAAAATATTCATGTTGTATAATGATTCGGGCTAAAATAACTAATTTGGGTCTCTTAGCCCACCAAGAAAATACTTGTGACCCAACTGAATAATAATATTTCCCTTTTCTATAATATACTAAATGAATATTAAAATAATATTTCCTTCTTCGATTAATTTTTTTTTGAGCTTATCGGTCAACGTTACCTGCCAACAAACAAAACATGTTAAATAATATATCACATTATTCGTAGGAGAAACTTATTTAATTGACTAAAATAAATATTAATATTGATTAATATAACTAGCTCATAAAAAAATCGGGGTGTTACACGGAGGGAGTACTAATGTCGCTCATTCGAAAATACGCATTATTTTGAAAGTAATTGTATAAAATAATATTAAATTCGACATAAGAGTTCGAATGAAATTCCCAAAGTAATAAATTAATTAAGTAGTCTCATACGCCGTAATTACCTAATCAAGAAAAAATAGTTTACTACTAAAGTGCACGCACACTATATATTTAACACAAATAAGCAAATACCCTTAATGGTAATTTTCCATTCAAATGGTCATTTCAGCAAGCATATTATCAATCAATTTCACTTCAGCAGATTCAGTCTTTTGAGGCTTTTCAGCCCTTCCAGCCGGTGGAGCTGTTTTCCAAAGAGGCCCTGAATATGCATTGGAAAAAAATTCACAAGAGCTTTAGAAATGTGTGTGGTGATATTTACAAAGTTTTGGTTGGATTGACCGATTCAGTTGATTTATGAAAAAAATATCAAAAAAATATTTTTTTCCTTAAAATAAAGAATATTATATGAAAAAAATAGCTAAAATGATCCTCTACAGTAACTTCATCCGCTACAGACATAAAAGTAACTTCAACATTACATTTTCTTGTTATTACACAATTCAGCACAAAATATCTGTTTTTGTAGACAACTGAGTCGAGCTTGGTATATACTCCTCTTTTAAGTAACCCAATCAACTGCAAAATCTCTTTCCCTGTTAACATGACAAATTTTTTCTTTTCTATCTTCATACATATCTTCATTTTTACTCTGGATGTTAAGTATAGCCTGCTTCCGTACTTTCAAGCTAACCATATTTAATAATTCAACAGACCCGTTAGACTATGTCTCAATCTATACTCTTTCCAAACTTAATTGGGTGTACAACTTTAATAACTAGTAAGATACTCCAAGAGTAGATAAAAACAACTCTCTTATTCTAAGTTCTTTAAGATTTTTTAATTCGATATACCTATGAGATAGAGGAAAAGTTAGACTAATTAACCTAAAACTCTTAAGTAGTTATAAATTAGAAAGAATCGTTGATCTAGTTCACACTCCGTCTTCACTAGAATATAAAGAGTTGAGCTCTCAAATAGGTACATTGTCTCTCTTAGATAAGTATTCATTGTTATATGAGGACAAAGTTATAAACCATTAATTGTTTTTTTGTGATAATAGTAAACAGGTATGCTTATTTAATTGTTTTCCTTCCTTTTCAAAAATCAAAATGCTTGTTTCAATTTGCTATTTACTCAATGAGGCAGCTACTTTTAGATTATTTATCGGTATACAATTATTTGGTATCGATGTTTCTTCATTAATTTATTGCATCTTGAGCTATTGATTTTTGAAAATGATGAGTGTGTTGCACCACCGTTGTTTAAGTACAAATAAAAATACATATGTCTATTTTGCCTCTTTCGATTCTTACTGACACATTATAAGAATTTCACTTTTTATAGACGAATGATTCACTCATACTAAAGTTGCAAAGAAAGATACAAGGACTGTAAATGACTACAATTTACCTTGTACCGTAAAGGTGCTCGAAATAAAATACTAAGTTGTACGCATTGTTGTTTAGTACTACCTCCGTCCCGCTATGATTGTCCCATTTTAACTTATCGATTCGTCCCACTAAGATTGTCTCATACCAAATTTGATAAAGTTTATGTAGCTCTAAATCATTCTTACTTTATTATTACTTTATCAATTCAATATAAACCACATAAACCACTTTTTATTGATTTGCGTGTCACTCCCTCTTGTCCCATTGTTAGAGGGACGGAGGGAGTACTTTATTACTAAAGGTGCTCGAAATAAAATACTAAATTGTGCTCTAAGTAAGTACCATAGAGAAAGAGAGGTCGAACTAAGATAATGAAAAAACTTGTTACTAGTGAGAGCCGTAATATAATTGCAAAGGGTCCAAAGTAAAATCATTCATTTTTGCAAGGTAAAGGAACTATATTATTGAAAAAATAGTGCAGAATTACAATCAAAGCATAGAAGGTCAACAATTTCAAGAGGGGATTCCAAGCATAGGACATCAGCCTCCATCCCTCTTTGCACGTTGAGGGTTGATAGAACACTGGTATATCCAACTCACAACACAACGAATCACAAACAATTAAGAAGAACAAGATCATAGAACTTTATTGAAGTAGGAAGGGATTACAGACAGTACACAGTTTAGAGCTATTCGAGACGCCCCAATCTCCCAGACCTTAGTCAATCAAAATAACAGCCTACCACTCATAGACTCCATACTTCTATTTATATTAGTTTAGTCCACGCGGGGAACTAACTAACTAACCTTCTAGTCAGTTATTATTAACTACCCTTCTATTCCTCCTTTTATACACTTTATTGTAAAACTGAGTTGGTGGATGTATCGCATTCCTATCATTACTCCCCCTGGAAATTCACCTTGTCATCAAGGTGAAAATCTGGGAATTTCTCTTTGATCAATAACAATGATTCCCAGGAATCTACAAAACTTGGCAACCCTTTCCAGTGTATTAGCAGTTCCCAGTTTCCTTCCTTGTCCACCCTTGAATCCACCACATTTTCTGGGACTACTTGCAATTCCAACTCTTCATTCAAACATTTGGGTAGAGGCTGAAAATAAGCAGTGGTTGCTATAGCCTTTTTAAGCAAAGAGACATGAAATACAGGATGTATTTTACTGTCCTCTGGTAGCTTAAGTTTAAATGCTACAGAACTGATTTTGTCAATAATATCAAAAGGACCATAATATCTTGGACTCAGTTTCTGGTTCACATTCTCTTAGCTAAACTCCTTAGCTTATAGGGCTGTATCTTCAAGTAAACCTGATCACCCACTTCCAGTTGAATATCCCTCCTGTGTTTGTTGGCCTGCTGTCTCATCTGATTCTGGGCTCTAGCCAAATTATCTTTTAATTCTTCTAACATCAAATTCCTTTGGGCAGTTAGTTGAGATACTTCTTCCATTGCAGTAAGATCCACATCTCCTCTAATTACTGCATGGGGATCCTGCCCAAACAAGGCTTTGTAAGGTGTTACTTTCAATGAAGCATGGTAATTTTTATTATACTAGAATTCAACCCAATGCAACCATCTGGACCATTAATTAATATATTTATATGCTTGAAACACAATGTGCGTGAATAAGAATACAGAATGAATTGGAGGTTAGCTAGATTTTTATATGGAGTTGTGTCTCACATGTGCTCAGACGCTTGATATTTTTTCATTTTCCTTTGGTTAAGGATGCCCTAAAAATCTTTTCTTGATTCATTAGGAATGAATTTCTGATTGATATTGTGTCTTTTTATCTAAATACACTTCAACAACATAAAAAATCCCCCCATCCCTCAAAAAATGTTGTCAAGTTTGATCGACACAGAAAACAATAAAGCAAGAACTTTGTACTTGAAGTTTGTGCAGAGGAGAAAGAAATAATAAGAATAAAAAATTAATTGATTAAAAGGGAAAGTAATAAAGTTTTCTGAGACAACAAAAAAGGAAAGATGACAAAATTATAAAAGACGGAGGGAGTGTATTAGTAAGTGTTTAGTCAAAAGCAGAAAGGTTAGGGATGGAGGACAATTTGTGCAAAACATATGAAGTAGATGTATGATAAAATGTTGCATCCTTTGAACTGTTTGAAGTTTAACCATGTTTACATTATTTAATGCAAATGTCATCTATGAGTATCACAAAATAGTGCACATGTTTACACATTGAGTATCAGAAAACAGTCATACAATACCACAAATAACATGCAGGGGCGTAGCTAGGGGAGGGCCAACCCTAGCCCTAGCCCAGCCCAAATTTAAAAAATGTCTAAATTTTTAATGTAAAAAATTCCGTGTGATTTTTTTTAAAAAAATATTCTTTGTATCGGCCCAGTCTGACTCGGTGTCCTGACTCCACCCCGGATAACATGAACCAGTGCTTTAAACTAATATACGTAAATTTAGACTTTAGTGACATGCATGTAGACCATCTTCAAATCTAGAAATAAAAACGGTGAGTTGAACTCCACTCTCCTGATGGGGTATACCGGAACAGCTATCTGAAACCAAAACAGTTTGGGTTTGCCTTATTTGCGTTAAAACCCACGACATCGGGACAACTATCCTTACTCTCCCAATAGTGGCTCCTCAATCTCGATTGAGAAAGCATAGAGCCCAGAATGTAGAAATTAGCCTTACAGCTTAAAGTCTTGAAACAAAGAACAGTTGTATATTCATTGCCATTCAAAACAAGGAAATTGGCACTTGAAGATGAATTGCTTTTTGAATCGTTCAATTTGGGCACAAACTGTTTACTGTTCTACTATGGCTCAATTGAGAAGCCATGAGGATTCCAGCCTCATGCTAAGAACATGGAATAGACGGAAGTGGCGAAGATTTTTATTTCAGTATAGGGCACGATCAAGAACCAGATACTGAAAGAAAGAATTTAGAGATTATATGTCAACTTATGTACAAGGCACGTTCCTTACGATTAATTGGGAGTTCTGTCAAACAAAAAAAAACTAATTTTGTCCATTTTAACTTATAAATTTTATTCCATTTTGTCCATCAAGCTTACAACATGCAACTCCACACAAAGCAGATGAAAACTCTGCTCTTCATCTAAAATATAACTTATACTTGTTTGGCTTCAACTCCAAAGCAGAAGATAGAAAGTCATTTGAATGCCAAAGGAACTAGGATCCCAGATTGGGCAACTGAGCTAGTTTTTCTATTTCTTTAATGATCAACTCCTTTTCTTCTTCAAATTGGTCATCTTCTTCGCCACCTGCAGTTGATATTATTAGGTCAGTTTAACAAGAGCTGGAGATCAAGTATTTTGAAGTATGACAGCGGCACCTCATACAAAAAGCCCTCTGGTTCACTGTCATACCTTTCCCGGTAGATAGACTGTAAAGTAACTCCAATAATCTTTCGTGGTTTTTTGCCAGAATCACTTTTATGTCTTTAGGCTTGTTGGGGTTCGCCACAAAGACCTAGAGATCATACATTGATAAAAATGTTATTAACAAAAGCTAACAATTCAAGCAAATAACCTTGACTTCTTTATGAGATGGTGATTGATGATATAGAAAGGAAGCATGCTTTTAGCACAAAAATATACACAAGTGGCCAGGTGCATTGCAAGTTAGTAATTCAATACCCTATTATGAAAATAAAGCAGATCCTAAATGTGAACTTTCAGTTGGGACTCCACAACTTCCATGCAAGTTCTTAATAAAATAACCACCCCCTCCTTCCCATCAACCTCTTTTCACCATATCTATTTTAATCATGACACTATCAGATCGTTAAAATCATTGAAGAAGGAAGAACTATTTATCACCTTGAAAATGTGGAAAGCAGATATCTGGATATTTTTGCTTGAATCCTGCACAAGTTGGAATTTATGAGATCAAAAGGGAAAGTTTGGTGAAAAAAGATTCAAGAAATGAACTAGGAATTCCGGTACATATTAGAGACTGCCATATAACATCCACTTCGAAGAAAGCACAATGAAGTCTCTTTGTTCAAAGGCAACACATTGACTCAGAGTAGATCTTTAAAAAGGGATGCTTAAATGATTTAAGAGGGAATAAATGCAATACCTTGAGCAATGTCATCATGACTTTCAAATGTTTAACTTCAGCGATATAGCGCTTCATTATATGGGAGTTGGGAGGTTCTAATAGAAATTCTGACAAAAGCTGAAAGTTGTGAAGAGAGATGAATCAGCAGCTTTAGAGAAATTAAAAAATTACAGCCACAATATCAGATATCAACTGACCTTCAGAGACTGCCTCCTTGTGACGTAGTTGGATGACATTAGGAGTTTTTCATACTGCTCAAAGAACTAGAAGAACAACATCGGTTTAGTAAAACACCAGAAAACAAATGTATATTGAATCATGTTATGGTAACAACAATGAGGTATTATACCTACAAAGGGCATGTTCTTTATAATTTTATGCTGAAAAAGAGCTAACAGACCTCATCATAGTGAGCAGTCAGGAACTCCGACACTGCAGATGAGTGTTTTGTAAGTAAATCCTGTGAAAATCTAAGATATCTTCAGCAGTAGCTTTAAGAAATGAAGAATAAATGTCAACTATACACTATTAATCCAGAAAAATGACCTTAAAGGTAGAAAATGCATCAGATGCAACATCAAAGTTAGCCAGCTCTACAAACTTGAAGAACAATTCAAAGCAAGGAGACTCCAAGATGTACCTTAAAGAAGAATAAGATCTTTCTAAGCAAAAATAATAGATTTACAAGTATATTAATAGAGCAAGTATTTTGAACGTCTTCGCTGACATAATATTAACATCGATCTGACAATATAAAAAATCCTTAGAAGCACACATAAAAAGTTCTTACTAAATTAACATGCATTTAAATAGGTTATCAAATAACAAGACAACTTTGCTTTATTTTACCTTTAGTTGACTAGATAGTCGCTACACACTTCTAATCCAATGTTTATATAGAGAAATTATGGACCTAAACCTAATGGACTAAACCATATGTGATATGACTTCTAATTTTCTAAACCGAGGGTTTCTACTTCAAAGAATTTAACACTACTCTCGAACTCGAGCATATTAAGCCATATTAAACGGTTTATAAACATGTTTCAAATTGAACACTATAGAAGAGTCTAGACAAAGAAAAGTCTAGATATCAGTTACACAATTAATTAGAGTTGTCAGTTACAAAATATTTGTATTTAATATTATAATTAGTAACCTACATTATTGATCCCTAGAATATTGTATAAATAGTCATTCATCTCATGGAATAAATCAAGCTTTCCGGTCTCAATTCCTTCTTATTCTAAATTCCTTTATGGTATCAGAGCCTCTAGAGGCCTAATCGGCCTATTCTCTTCACCGAACTACTCTACCACATCATCCTCATCTGGCCACCTCTGCCCCATGGCTACTGAAGATAACCGAGACAAAAGTCCAGAAGATGTTCATGATAACTCAACATCATCTCTCTCGGCCAATAATCCCCTAACCCCGGATGGCCTTATTATGATCAGCCCTAACCAATTCCCAGAAAAACTAGGATCAAATTACCTTGTATGGAGAGATCAAGTAATGGACCTGTTGTTCGGTTCTCATCTGGAACAGTATGTTGATGAAAAAATAGATCCTCCTCCAGAAAGTGAAGCTGCCAACCTTCTGTGATGGAAGAGACAGGACCGTCTGGTGCGGCACGCTCTTGTATCTTCTCTCAGTTCCACTTGCAAACCGCTGGTTGGCTCTGCAAAGACCTACGCCTCCGCTTGGAAAACACTAGAGCGCCTGTATGGGACCCGGTCGGCTTCCAAAATTCGAAGTTTGAAAGATCAGTTCCGCCATGCTAAACAAGGGTCGCAACCTGTAGCAGAATACCTTCATCACCTTCGAACCTTGGCAGATGAACTAGCCATGGCCGGTCGACCCGTTGACGATGAAGACTTCGCCATTCAAGCCCTTGAGGGTCTTCGTCCCGAGTTTGAATCCGTGGAGAACTCCATCCGCCCAGATGAAACTAACTTTGAAGAACTCCACTCCTTACTGGTCAGATTCGAAGACAAGTTGCGAAGGAGGGAGCTCTTGAATTCCGCCGTTGTTGTTACTGTCAACGCAGCGACCGTAGAAAGAAAAGAGGAAGAAGACAGTTCGGTCGCAATGACCGTTCGCAGGAGTAGACCAGAACGCGTCTATATTAGGCCCAGGTCCATCAGCCCAGTTTCAGACTCTACCCAATAGGCCCAATACTCAGAATAAAATTTTTTTCAAAAATCAAAATCGAGGCCCACGTCCCAGCAACTTCTACAATTCAAATCGACATGGAAATAATAATTCTGCGGGCAGGCGTACTAATTTTGGGGGAAATACCAGTCCGGGTGATGTTATATGTCAAATTTGTAGCAAACCGAACCATCTCGCTATCAACGGTTGGCACAGGTTTGAACCATCTCGCTATCTACTGCCACGACCAGGAGAAGCGGATGGTTACTGGACTCGAGAGCAACTAATCATGTCACCAATAATTTAAACAATCTTACTCTGGCGACCGATTATACCGGCACAGACTCCCTCATTATTGGTAACGGTAAAAGTCTTGAAATTGCACAAGTTGGGAATATGACCCTCAATTTTCTCTCCTTACCTAATACTCTTTTTGTTCCTTCTATTCATACTAATTTAATTTCAGTTGCCAAATTATGTCGTGACAATGATGTACTAATCGAGTTTCACCCTTCTTTTTGTCTTGTCAAGGACCGGAAAACGGGAGCAATTTTGTTACGGGGTATGAATAAAGGTGACGTCTACAGCTTGCCTGATGTTCCTGTTCCTTCATCACCATGTGTCAACGTTACTACAAAATTTTCTCTAAATAAATGGCATTGTCGTTTAGGACATCCTGCCTTTCCCATCACTCAAAAAGTTATTTCCTCATTAGGTATTTCCTTTAAATATGTTAATAAGGATTTGTCCTTATGCACTTCATGCACAAGTAATAAAAGTCACAAGTTACCTTTTGCTAAATCTTCCCTTTCAAGTTCGGGTCCACTTGATTTAATTTATACGGATGTTTGGGGTCCTTCACACATTAATTATGTGGATGGTTTTCGTTATTATGTTATTTTTGTTGATCACTACACAAAATACATTTGGTTTTACACTATCACTCACAAGTCTGAGGTAACTTCAATTTTTCAACAATTTAAGAAGATCATAGAAAACTTTTTTCAAAAATCTATTAAAATGGTTTATTCAAATGGAGGGGGTGAATACATATCCCTAGGGAAATTTCTGGCCTCGTGTGGTATTACTCACTTACTGACCCCTCCATATACCCCTGAGCATAACGGCTTCGCTGAACGCCGACATCGTCATATTGTAGAAACACGGATCACTTTACTTCAGCACTCCTCTATGCCGTTAAAATATTGGTCATACGCCTTTTTAACTGCTGTATATCTAATTAATAGGCAACCAACAACATCTCTAGGTTTTTGTACTCCCTATGAAAAACTTTTTCAAAAACCTCCCAATTACACAAAACTTGCTATTTTCGGATGTCAATGTTTTCCATGGCTCCGTCCTTATGCAGCTCATAAGTTGGAACCACGGTCCAGACCTTGTATTTTCCTTGGGTATTGCGATCAACAAAGCGCTTATCGCTGTCTTGATCCTACTACCAATCGCATCTTTTTTAGTCGGCATGTGGTGTTCAATGAGTCTGTCTTCCCTTTCTCTAATAATCCAACACCCGTTACAGATCTGTCCTCTGAAATTGACAGTTGGCTTCAGCCTTCTATCTCTTATCTTCCTATCTCAGGTACATCACTAGCAAAGGCGTCTCCTACTACTCGTACCCCAGTGACACAAAACTCCCCTAACCCTGCTCCATTAAACCTTCATACGACTCATAACACTCCACCACCTTCTAACCCACCGGTCCTCATCACTCATCACCGCCGGCCCAAACAAAACCCAACTACTCCATCCTTACCTAATGTACCCAACACCACCCCCTCAACCATTACTCCCACTACAAATAATCCCATATCTACCTTGGGTCATCATCATGATCCAAAAGCCTCTCCACCCAAACGTACCCACCCAATGACCCTTCATCCTCGTAAACAAGCTAATGTTGTCACTCACTCACCATTACCTCATCATATTAATCCTACTTGTGCTTCTCAAGCTTTACAGGTACCTGAATGGAGGAAGGCTATGTATGTGGAATTTGACGCCTTGGTTCAACAAGGGACATGGGAACTTGTACCCACTCATCCTGGTCAGAACATTGTTGCCTGCAAATGGGTTTATACTGTGAAATATAAGCCTGATGGTTCCTTGGATCATTTCAAAGCTCGATTGGTGGCTAAGGGCTTTCATCAGCGCCCGGGGATTGATTACTCTGAGACCTTTAGCCCAGTCATCAAGCCAGTTACTATTCGTGTTGTTCTGACCATTGAACTTTCTCATGGCAGGCACATAAACCAATTAGATGTCAACAATGCATTTCTACATGGCGCTCTTCAAGAGAAGGTTTACATGAAACAACCCCTCGGTTTCAATGATGGCTCTGGAAGGGTGTGTCGTCTTAAGAAATCCATCTATGGTCTCAAACAAGCGCCTCGAGTGTGGTACCAATCTCTTATTGGATTTCTATTGTCCCTTGGTTTTCATCAATCAGTCTCTGATGCCAGCCTCTTCATCTTTTCTTCTCATCCCTCTTATATCTATGTGTTGGTATATGTGGATGATATTATTGTTACGGGCTCTACACCAGACTTGATTCATCGGACCTATTGACTTGTTAGCACAAAAATTCTCCATCAAGGATTTGGGTCATTACATTACTTTTTGGGCATACAGGTTACCCCTACATCAGATGGACTCTTTCTTTATCAACACAAGTACATTACAGATTTATTACATGTGTTGAACATGCACGAGGCGAATCCAGTATCCACGCCCTTAGCTTCCTCAGCTTCCTTGACTCTGTTTGATAGCTCGGGTTCTTGTGATGCCACTCTATATCGTCACGTTATTGGATCGCTTCAGTATTTAAGCCTCACCCGACCCGACACTGCCTTTGCCATCAACAAGCTAGCCCAGTTTATGCACAAACCCACGGTGAATCATTGGCAGCTCATGAAACGTCTCTTGCGGTATCTTCAAGGAACAGCCTCTCATGGTTTATATCTCCGTCGGAGTTCTCACCTTTCATTGTGTGCTTATGCTGATGCAGACTGGGCGGGAAATCCAGATGACCGATCTTCTACCAGTGCTTATGCCATTTTTCTCGGAGAATCACTTATTTCATGGAAGTCCTCCAAACAACGCACAATTGCCAAATCCTCTACCGAAGCAGAGTATCGGGCCCTATCCACTGCTGCATCTGAAACTCTTTGGATTGAGTCACTTCTTCATGAGCTTCGACATTCCCCTTCTCCTCCTCCAGTTCTTCTATGTGATAATAAAGGCGCTACCACCTCTTATGCCAATCCGGTATTCCATTCCCGAATGAAACATGTTGCCATTGATTTCCATTTTGTTCGTCAACGTGTGCAACGTGGTCTTCTTAGAGTTCTTCATATCCCCTCTCATGATCAACTAGCTGACATTCTCACCAAGCCACTTACGACAGCGATTTGTTCTTCTACGTGACAAGCTCAGGATTCTTAGCACTGATAGAATACCTGGCTTGCGGGGGCATATAGAAGAGTCTAGACAAAGAAAAGTCTAGACATCAGTTACACAATTAATTAGAGTTGTCAGTTACAAAATATTTGTATTTAATATTATAATTAGTAACATACATTATTGATCCCTAGAATATTGTATAAATAGCCATTCATCTCATGGAATAAATCAAGCTTTCCAGTCTCAATTCCTTCTTATTCTAAATTCCTTTAAACACTACATATGGTTTCCTCTCTATGTTCACTCTTATCTTCTCTTTTTCCCAATTTCATCTCAATTTTCTGACATATGTTTAGAAGTTTTTGGTCGCCGATCAGCGTTACCGGAAAGCATTCAATTTTTAACAATCGCATTGCCTGAGAGAGACAATTTCACTGGTAAAGCCATTGGGATTAGATGATCACTAGAGAAGTTCCCACAGTTCCAAGCAATGAGCTGGAGTTGGACAGCCAGTGCAGATGGCACATAAAGTCAGAAGATGGCATCATGGCAATAGCACTCCAGGCATAGCCTCGTGATGACAATCCAATGATATAGGTGCTGGAGTTCTTAAACTCCTGCCAGATTTGTCCCAAAAGATAAAAGACAGCAATTCACTGTTGGGGGGGCTTCAGATTTTAATCATAATACAAGGGAAAAACAATGCCTTCACAACATATTCAAATCATGCTCTTATTGATATAAATTTACCTGACTACTTCATAAATCATAATACAGTGCATTTATAAAGAGATATTGAGTTTAATCTTAATTAAATAAACACTGGGCTTGTGACTATGTTAACATAGGCAAATCCAAAGGGTTCTTCTACATGCTGGTAGTGACTATGTGAATGAAAAAATTGGGGAAAATAGCTGTTCATGGTGACTGGTGAAAATACTAACATGCTCCAGTTTTCTTCACATCAATTTCTTTCAGAACCATAACAACTAGAGCATAATGATAAACGATACAAGTACATGTCATATTCCCCAAACGTCGCAACGCTAAAAAAGACTGTTTTAAGATAGTACTCAAACAAAAGCATAGAGGTTTACTTTGATGGAAGAAGTACACCTATGGAAAAAAAAGAATCATGGAAGATATAAGAATCTCATACTTAGCAAGGCTGTGCACTTTGATGCAATCCCGAAGCATATTTCCACAATGCAAAGCTATTTCCTTATTATCATAGCTGTTTATGAACCAAAACAACGGGGAAGCATGAACAATTGAAGAATTCAAACAATACAGAAATAAGGGTTTAAAGATGGCATTACAGTATATGGAAAGGTTCAGAAAGCCTAACTATAGAAATACAAATTAACTGCATAGAGGAACTTGGAAGAACAAACTTATTGGCCAAATGCATCATTTTCTAGCCATATTCTGAAGGAACGAAGAATGTACTGTGACTTTGATTTGATTAAAGATAATGGGGGCTAAGAAACCACTCCAAGTGGTTGTGCTAATTAGCAATTCAATCTTAATTTTATTGGAGGTCATGGAAAATTCAATTCCCCATGCCTTCTTTCAAAATAGTTTAAATTATTAAAAAGGCTCTCGGTAATAATAAGTATTAATAACTCCATTAAATGGGGCAGCCCGGTGCACATTGGCACCTCCGCGAGGCCCTGAGGGTCCGGGGAACAATCCCACCACAAGGGTGTACAAGGAGCAAGCCTTCTCTTGTCATTTTGACAAGAGGCCTCTCCCAAGACTTGAAACTGTAACCTCTCAATCACATAGAAACAGTGTAGCCGGTGCGCCAAGGCTTCCCTTCTATTAATAGCTCCATTACAAAAAACTAAAACGGCTCTCATAGTCTCATTTTACCAAATTACTTCCTCCGTCCTTTATAACTTTGCCAAAGTTGACTTGCACGTAGAATAATAAAGTAAAACTGTATGATTGAGGTTTGTGCGGAGGAGAAAGAAATAACAAGAATCACAGATTCATTATTTATAAGGAAAACTGATAAAATTATTGGGACAGCCAAAAAGGTAAGTAGACAAAGTTATAAGGGACGAAGGGAGTATTATATAATGAAGTGCAAAGAACATGGACTCTCATATAAGATTTCCCTCATCACTGGGATTCGATCAAGTTCTCCCTTCTCTCTCTTTTTACTTGACATCAAAGTGAGGTTGAAAAGATAAAGGCCGTCCCAAAATATTATCCACATAAAAACACTAAGTTTTAGAGCCAAAACAGTAGTCCCTTGACTGTTATGATGGTCCATCCTATTTGGGTAGAGATACTGAGAATCGAACCCCACCACTGCCAATGCATGTCTCTCTCCTTCAAAGTACTTTCTCAGATCTCCCCCGGTGCTCCAATGGTGCTACTGTCATGAACACCATTAGATCCTCACTGGCCAGTGCCCCTGCACTGAAGTATTCGCCCTGATCCTCCACACAGTTTATTTAAATCGAAAAGTATATTAAATCGAAACATAGGAATAGAATGATCTAGATTACAAATCGAATCGTTATTTCTTTAACAAAAATTGATACAGAAACTAAAACACACTAATCAGTTGATTCAGTTCACATTATTTAATGCCCAAAGGCCCCCAAACACAGGATAAAAAACTGTTCACATACATATGCATATGTGTGTGTGCATGTGTGTGTGCGATCTAAGGCTGAGTGTCCAATGCTTTAACTGATTGTACATTATGCTCAAGATTAGTTCGTCCAACCAATTAAAGCATGATTAATTTATCTGAAGAGGTGATAGTAATTAACTCTTATTTTATTAATTCAATGTGATTCTACATGTGTAAGATAAATTGCTTTGAATCTCAATCTGATTGTTTATTGTGAGACTGTGCAGGATAAAAACAACAGCACTTTTAAGCAAAGATGAGGGAAATGATATGCAAAAACTTCAATTATATACCATAGTGGCATAGTCAATAAGCAACCTGAAATCAGGCCCAACATAATTAGCATAAGGGGCCAAAATTAAAACCTAACAATAAAAGTGAATATGCTTACCAAACAACGAGAAAGTCTAGCAACTCCAAGTGGTTTTCCATGTATCTCACACAACAGAATGTGGAATCCTCAACTTTTTGTCTCATCATTACAGACCAACATTGAACTAAATTCTTTCTTGCCTGAGAAAAGAATATCAAAGTTAAGAGGTACATTAATTAAATGATTTTGTGATAACATTTCCTTCATCTTGAGAGGAACTGTAACTTACTTCCCATCCCAGTACCGGTAATTGGTGAAAGAATAGAGCAATGACATCCTCGTTACAGACTTCAATTGTCAACTGCAAAACTTGATCTGAGTTTGCCTCAGCCTCTCCATCTCCTAAAAGCATGATTTTCATTGACAGTATATTTTTCTCAGCTTCTTCCAATGCCTGTATAAAAAACAAGGAGAATTTGAACCATAAAAGTAAACTATTCGCTGGAACTCCGCAACTCCTTTTCTCTAAGTAGCCTCTGCTTTACCTCGATACATAACTATTTCTTTCATATCCTAGTGGGCTCCTTCCTGGTCTGCCTATGTAAACTAGTAGGATTTTGAACTGTTCTAAATCAATCATCAATGAATGGAAAACTGTATATTAAAAAAGAAATTGCCCGAGATAGGAGTAAAAACAATGTGGAATTCTAAAATAGGAGCACCATCTTTTTATTCTCTAAAAGGGAGTAATTAATGTGATGCTTGGAAAATACTTCCAACTATGGCATTAATATTGTCATATTAAAGCCTCGTAATGCCAAAATCATCATCATCATTACCCCGGTGCCGCAAAGGCTCCCACCTATGGCAGGATTGGCAGGGTAGGGGGGTCGGATGTACGCAACCTTACCTCTGTACTAAAGCACAAAGAGACTGTTTCCGTATGACCCAAAGTGAAAATCGCGTCGAAAATTGCATAGACCGACTGTTGCTTCATAACAAAGAAGCGCAGACAATTTAGTGAGTCATTTTGCTTTATTTCATCATATTCCCAAGCCAAAACATAGTGAGTTTTTGGCTCCATTGCAAATGATGGAATTCTCGTAATGCCAAAATATGAAAGTAAAATTCAAGGGCGGTAGTAACTTATTCCTATTTAGGGGGAAATAGTACACATGTTTTGGAATCTCACATAGTTTTTACTCTTATTTTAGGAACTTCCCTTCTTTAATATTTTTTGCTTACATCCATTGCAGTTAGCCGGTTAGGCACTTAGGCCCATTATTATTAGAAAATGAGAAAATAGTTTTGTGAGTGTAGAATGCTTTCAGGCCCTACTTTTAAGACTAATTCATGATTTTTTTTCGCATTTAGGTCATTGTCTACCATTCTATCCATCAAGCTCCAGCAAGTAGCAAGTCGGCAATAATTAAGATCATAGGTAAAATAAACTCCTTATGGTCCTCAATACAAGTCACTTCTGATGAAATTACATAAACCATCTAAAGTAATAAAAGTACTCAATAATGTCCCGCATTACCAACATACCCTCAATAAGACAATAATCATCATATTCTTGTTAATGAACTTCAGCTCACAAATAAACTTAGGCAAACGACATTCATGATCATAGGCTGCTGGCATCATGGGGAGTGTTATGTTTAACGGCCAAATGATATTTTTCTCTTATTCTGTTAATTAAGAAGATCTGAAAAACAGTTAAGGTCTCAAATGTCCTAAAGATATACGTAGTAGTAACACTAAAAAGAGGCAATCATTCAGTATCTTTCCATAGAGTCACAGCCAAAAGGTTCAATGGATTGCAAAAACATCGTCTAAAATTTCATCTTCAAAATCAAAAGAACTTGGGAATTTCAGCAATTCAGCTCCTACCAAAGATTAACTGGGACAGAGATAAACTGGGACGGAGCACATTTCTAAATTGCTAATGTCGAACACAAAATGTGAAAGCATGCTCTCAGTACACATTTAAGTAAGAATTGACAGAACCTTTTCGCGCGCTTTAACTTCGGCGACGGTCTTGGAGTCGAGCGCCATGAGACTCTCTTTGACGGCCTTCGTGAGCTCAGCCGGGGTTTTAGGCCTCAACGGCTTGAAGAATGAGAACGACATTCCTCACCCGGATTTCTAATTTCCGCCGAGCAAATGAATCGATTTGAGTGATCTATCGACCACAGCCGAACCAAACTCTTTTACGTTCTATTGTTGCAGACACATCGGAATGTGTATCTCCAAACTACCTAAACACAGTACATGAAACAAAATTCAGCATTTGTATAGGATTATTATGAGGCAATCTGGCTTTGATAGATTCCGTTTCTGTGCTTTACTGGGAATTCAGCATCTGCATATGATTATGATGCCATCTGATTGTTAGATTCAGATTCTGTGTTTTATAGTTACTCGTTATTTGACTATTAGTTTTATCAAAACTGATGTACAAACCCTTGTACACATCTTATACACATCATGTTTGTGAAGCTTTTTTTTTCTGTGAATTCGGTTCACAGACAAAAAGAAAACCTTTCACAAACATAGGTGTGTAAAAAAGTGTGTATAAGAGCGTGTACAAACGGTTTTTTTGTAGTTTTATGTCCCTTTTTTCAAACATTTTGTACACATTTTACTATTGTTTACACACACATGTACACATTGTCTAAAAATTCTTTTTTCTGTCCTAGAAAAGACACGTTATTTGACAAAACAAGTTTTGTTTGGCACACATTTTGTCTCGCACAAAACAAAAAAAACAAACATTCATAGGCAATGTTTACAAATGTGTAAACTTGTATACAACAAAAATTGTTTTTTATCGAATTCTCAATCTTCTAGCCCGCGAGTTTATTTGGGGATGATGCTTATGATGTGGAAGATCTTTTACACATCATTTCATCTGCCACTAAAATTGTTTCATACGGAGTGCAATATTTGATAATATTTGTATAGTTCTAATTAATTCTTATTTTATTAACATTTTACTAATTGAATATTAATGTTGTAACTCTATCTAATCTTAAAAATTATTACTCCCTTCGTCCCTTTAAGTTTGTCACACTTTCCCGAAACGGATGTCCCAAAATGTTTGTCCTACTTTTTCAACTTCCTTATTTGGTAAACAAATTTATACCAAACAGTGTCAAACAGTGCAAAACAGTGTCAAACAGTGCAAAACGGTGTCAAACAGTGTCGCTGCAGTGTGAAACAGTATCGCTACAGTGTAAAGTTAAATTCATCTCCTTAAAACTTGTGAAGTCAGACTATGACAAACTTTGAGGGACGGAGGGAGTACATCCGTCTCACTAGCATATGGACATTAAGAGGGATACAAGTATGGTTTGGTTCAAATAAGAACATGATCTTAGGAGAGAAATGAGAACGAATCTGGACTGTTAGATTTGCTTTAAGTGAAATTCAATGTGCATTAGATGAAACTGTAATGTGCATTATGTAAAATTGAAATGTGCAACACAAAGCGTATGATACAATGTCATTAAGTGAAGCTGAATTGTGCATTAGGTGAAATTAAAATGTGCATTAGGTCAAACTGAAATGTGCAGAATAAAAGGTACGATGTGACGTTATTTTTGTACATTTTATTCCGCACATTTCAGTTTCACCCAATGCACAATTGAGTTTAAGATTTTTTTCTGCACATTTCAGTATCATGTAATACACATTTCAGTTTCATCAAATGCACATTTCCGTTCCGCATAATACAATCCAACGGTCCAGATTCGTTCTTATTTCTCTCCTGGGAGTCCGTTCTTACCGGAACCGCTCCCTACAACTATTAACAAAAGTTGGTTTATGTGATTAATATGACATTGATAACGTAATAATGATATAGAATCACAGAAATTTTACTAAATATGCTAGTTTACATGTTTTATAAAGTACTACAATGTTTTTGCGTGCAAATTAAAAACAAATCACATATCTAACCTAACAATGTAAGCTATTTTACATGTAAAGTGATTATTTCCCTTAGTGCAAAATTCAAAACAAATTACATATCTAACCTAAACTTTGCATTCAATCTTTCGTGTGCAAAGATTTAACGTGTAAACTATCAAACGAGCCCTTAGTGAGACAAATCAAAAGGGAAAGATGAGTCAACCTTAGTCAGGACGAGGGGGATATGTATGTCATCTTCTCTTAGGCTAACTGCAACCCAGCTCTGTCAATGAATCAAATTCTCCACAACTTTATACATATTGATTCAGTCAATTCATTTTACCCCCAATGCACCGTCAATATATTCACTCAGCAATTTTTTTTTAATTAAGGTCTTACTTTTATTATTATAAATCATTTTTTCTCAAATTTTTTATGAATCGCTATAACTTGAAAAGCCAAGAATTTTTTTAAAAATAAATAAATTTGGGGTTAATTTTTTTGCTAATGCATACACATTTAAAAATTGAAAGATGTTAAAAAAATAGTGATTACATAATATTATTATTTCAATCTATTGAAGAAAACAAATTGTCTGAAAACCTCATGAAGTTATTTTTTTTGAAAAAATTTATATATGCAATGTTGGTGTCACATGAAATATTATAACAAGCTAAGAATTTTGATATTTTTTGGTAAAAAATGTAGTACAATTAAAAAAGTATCAATACTTTTTTAAAAATGGGATTTTATTTTTATTTTTATCTTGGCCCCACCCTTTCTCCTTTCACGCAGCAGGATGCTAGCCAATTTTTCTTGCATTGGCTTCTCTCTTTTCGTCAATAAAGCCGTAAATCAATCATTCCAGTTCACCGGATGAGAGGTTACCGTGTCCTAGCGGAGGTCTCGGGTTCGAATCCCGCTAGGCACATTTAGGAGATAGGAGAGAGGTCTTGCTCCCAATTATTCTTCCTACCTTCACGGAGTTGCTCAACGTCTGAGAAAGAGAGGATGATAATAAAGATAACAAGTTCGTGTGGTAGGAAGAACAGTCTGAATGGTGATGTAAGTGTTGTTGGATTCGTCCTTTAGAGTCAGTACTGATGAGGTTGACTGTGATCAGATCCAGATTTACCTGTCTAGGAGCTTTGGAAGGTAGTTACTTCAGGATTAGGGAAGCGAAAGCATTGACATCTGGATCATCAAAAAAGCCGTAGATTCTCACTCCATGAGAGGAGGAGTGCCCCCCAACCCACTTTGACACCCCCTCTATAGCTTGGATTGTGGTGGTTTTTCCACCCGAAAGCTTTGTCGGGCTTATAGGTCAGCTTTTTCACCAAACACGTAACTTTTGGTTTTATGAGCAGAATTGTGTAATAATGAGAAAAAGTAAGGTTGAAGTTATTTTTCGGGCTATATTGGCTGAAGTTACGGTAGAGGGACATTTTAGCTATTTTTAATATAATTTTTTCTTTATGTTATTAATAAAATGTAATTTAAATTATTATTTTTCACAAATCAGCTGAATCAGTTAATACAACCACATCGACCAGAAATTCATAAATTTCAACAGAATAAACCAATACAGTCGATTTTACTATTGAGATAATTATACTAGGTATGATTAAAACTTAATCACTTTCTCAATCTATGACCTAACTTGTTTTTTTATCAAAATAATATTAAAATTCATAATTTGTAATTAAAATTCGTAATAAATAAATAAATAAATAATTTAGGTGGACAAATATACCCTTTAGGTTATATCTATAAAACCCTAAACTCCTACGCATTTCTCCAACCCTAGCCTCCATTCTCCAACCTCTTGACCCCCGCCTGCAGCCGCATGCCCCCTGACGCCGCGCTGTCGCCGCCGGCCCATGGCTCGCCTCCACCGACGTTCAGGAGCACAACTGCCGGCCACATGTGCATCCAATTGCTTAGGGTGGTGGTTGCCGGCAGAATCGAACAAGATACTCCTTCCACGGACGCCTAGGGACCGGGATGGGACAATCGTCGCCGCTATGGTGTTCGTTCAGGCAGATTCACGGTGGCCAACGACTCTCCTTCCATGTACAACCTGTCTTTCTTCTTTTATCATCGACTGCATCTTTTCCTCCGAGCTTTTAATCTCATAGATCTAGTTCAAGCAACGAACGGTGCAGATTGGAAAGAGGAGTTTCTTTGCTCTATAGGGAACGATCAACTTAATGGTGATGAGAATAGGTCTCTAGTGATTGAATGGCCAACTTAATTATGAGATTATCAATTTCTACTGTCTTCTCAAGTTTTCCAACAAGACAGAGGCGCTCCAACTAACCCTCGCTGCTGCCCATTCGTCCGCCTCATTCGTTCTTTCTCTATTTTTTGAGATTAGGTTTTATTGAATTTAAGGTTTGTGGGCATTAATAATGGGCATTGAATAATGACAGTGAACAATGAATAAGTGTTGAGTATGTGCAGTGAATATGCATGACAATAGACATGTTGTACAAGGCAGTGAATGAATGCATTAATAAATTGTGTCATGCAGTGATTATGACTAGTATTGCAATAACACAGAGCAGAAATGCAATATACTTAATTAGACGTAAAATAATAAAATTATTTAATCTAAAAAAACAAAAACTATAAATAAGTTCCTCAAGTGAATGAGAAGAGGATTAATTTTGGCGGAAGTGCAGTGATAATTATCGGATGTGCAGTAAAATCGTGCATTAATGTTGTGCATTAAAGGCAATATAAAGTGCAGTAATTTTAATTGGAAGAAATTAGTGCAAAATGCACATATTTTAAATAAGGGTATTTTTGTAATTCAACCTTTAAATATAAACGAAATTTATTTATTTATTTGGATTTTCGGTCATATATAAGTCCAAAAACTAGTTAGGTCATAGATTGGGAAAGTCATTCAGTTTTAGTAATATTCTAGGAAATTTCCCCCCTTTTACTATTATCAATCGAGCTCGTAGTGTGATCAAGCTCGCTTCCACCAAACCTTATCAATAACACGTGCTCAAAAAATAATAGCAAATTATATCATGGGATCAGCCCACCGTGCGCAGGGTGTGTAGATCCCAAAAGGGTGCCATAATTAATAAAAATCAGCACCTCTTCCGACTTGAATGGCGATGACCAATTCTTAGCTCCTTCCCTCAGAAATCTCAGGCTCATCATCGGAGCCTATTCCGCCTATCCCTGTCATCTGCAACAAATTTGTTGCTCAATCGGATGGCTATGATTTCAGTGAGGTCAGAACTCTCTCTATCAAATCTCTAGACAACCTCATCCTCCCTCTTGCTGAGTACATCTGCAGCTTTCGTTCCTAAATAAACAACCTCAGAATCACTTCCCATTGAATTGATCAATGATAAGGTGAAAGGCAGGACATCACGCTTGAACATACCACTTTTGTTGGAGATTTGGCTGCAGATGAAAGCCAGCGCTAGCATCCTAACCAACTCCAGGCCGAAGCTGAGAGCGGAGAACCCACCTGCCGGCCT